GAGAAAATATGAACAAAAGATGAAAGGGTTGTAAAGAATTATTAAAGTTGGTAAGAAATGTTTCGGTCCATTAAGTCGTATGTATTTCTTACCGTCGCCGCAGTTGGACCTCGTCAGTACGACGACTGTGGTAACAATATAATTTAGTGAAGTGTAAGAATTAAATAAATGAAAGAGATGTAAATCGAAAAAAATGAAAAGGGTAGAAAAATTGGAAGACCTTAAAGAGATAGAAGAAATAGTAGGAATAGAAAAGATATAATGTTATTGAGTAGTAAAATCTAATATATTACGTGCTCATTACTCGTTATTTCCATCAATTATTTGTGTTGTTTAATTATAGAATCAGTGGATTGAATAACTCTGTAATTAATAGTTATGTTTGCAGTGGTAGGTAAGTGTTAAATTCTATATCGATAACGAAATTCCGTATATTTCTCGCCATAGTAGGTCTTTCGCGGCGTTATCTTTCAGTACCTCAAAATCGCATAGTATCAGTTCTCCGAGTAGGTTTTTCCTTCCCAGTTTTGTTGCCTATTTCTACAACAGCGCTTTCGACTTAGTTCTGCTTCTCCTGTTTTTTGCATTCCCACTGTTGAAAATTACTATTTTTTAACGTTTCTGTACTAATTCCAGCTTTTCTGAGGTTGATTGTTCGATTATTTGTACAATCGTCTTCCAAAATTTGGTCTTTTCTGGTTACATTCTAAGCGATTTAGCTAAATTTTGCATTTCCTTCTTGGCTGATTTTCTTGCCTCTCTCTCTGACTGGATTTGATCTTTGGACGAAGCTTCGCTTTATCTGGTTTCGATTGACTTTTTCGTTTCACACCAACAAAATTTTGACCTTTCCTCAAAATAACTCTTGGGGAGATTCTTCTTAGTTGATTTTAGAATCAAATCGAAAAGTTGGCTTCTGGTTTGATGATGTCGTCAGAGGGAATGATTTCGGCCGAACAATACCAGGCCCATTCGCGTCATTACGATCGTTCTTCGCGATTCGCAGCTTTCATGACGAGTCTGCTCAACCAATGCCGCTTTTCAGAAAGGAGCGCTGTTATAGAAGGCGTAAGTGTTACTTTTGACTTTTCTTCTTTTAACAAATGCACCTTTTTTGGGGCATTACAGGGGAAGATGGGTGGGTGAGGGTGGTATACATAGTCTCTGGTTATACATAATCGCCCTGTAGTTCAAGAATTTCTTGAAATCGGCAAATATCAAGCATAAAAAAATTTGTTACCCAAAAGCCTTTATTGATGCACTTAAAGCTTCTTACGGATACTGAAGTGGCGGGAAAATTTTGTATTGACGGTAAAGTATACGCTACATAATTTCTCAAGTTTCGTTCTATTCCTGTCTTCTTTTCTACGTTCATATTATTTCATGCTATAATCATGCGATAATCAGATTAGCTTTTGTCCAGCGTAGAGAAAATTAAATTCCAAAGACACAAAAGAAAAACTAAATGGATGAAGAACATGTATTGCCTCGCGTTCGACATGAGACTCGTGAATCAGCTCACTGAGAGTGTGAGCAGCTGTACCTGCTTCGGGCAAGCATAGATTGGATGAATATTGAATTGGATTCAGAGCCCTGCAAAAGAAAAAGAATAGGAGGAATAGCCTCCATCAAGTTACTAGACGCCTTTTCAACACTAACACAGCATCATCTATGAAAACGACGCTTTTCACTTTTTCTGGTTTCCCTCTTCTGTTGTATGGAAGTGAAACATGGAATACCAAGCTTGTTGGGGAGGCAAGAAAGCAGGCTCTCAGCAAGAAATGGGACGATGCATAATAAATGTGAGCAAGTTATAACACATGTCCAGTGAAGTAGTGCGGTCCTAATTTAGTTTGAACGAAATTATCAGGTAATGCACGTCGAAAAAAAAAAAGCTGAGACAGGCGTATGACAGAAAATGAGATAGCACATGGGTGGAATGAGTTAAAAGTGAGAAAGCAAACGGGCAACGTGGATTAGAACAACTCTTACGCAATATTAAAAGGACGGCGGGAAGGGGACCAGGACGTTAAAAAAGTTTTAATAGTTGCCTATAAACTTGAAGCCTAAACAATAATCTTGGACTTGGCAAAGGTAAACCGAATTTTAGCAATTACCCTGCGCAGGCTGTCCAATCTGTTGTTCCTGGTTCGAAATTTCTTTTTGTGGAAGCAGAAATACGGAACTGACGTTATTTGGGGCAGGGCAGCAGATGAGCGCGCATTCGTTCCGCTTTCTATCTTGCCCACCTTTAAAAAGCCATCTAACTAGAACGCTTCTCCTTATTACTTCGAAGGAACAACCCCAGTAGACTTCAGACAAATGCAAGGGGTCGGGAATCCCAGTTCAAGTGAGTGAGGACAATCGCTTGGGTTTATTCGGATGAGGAAGGCCCAAA